TGGGCTCGTAACCCAAAGGTTGTGGGTTCGGGTCTCGTACCGGCAGGGATTGTTGGTGGGGGGAGTGAATGTACAGCGCTCTCTCCCACCTTCAATACCACGACTGATGTGCCCTTGAGCAAGGCACCGAACCCCCAACTGCTCCCCGGGCGCCGTAGCATAAATGGCTGCCCTCCGGGTGTGTGTTCACAGCATGTGTGTGCACTTTGGATGGGTTAAATGCAGAGCACTAATTCCAAGTATGGTCACTAATACTCACCTATAGAACAAAGGAAAGTCTAGAATCAATGTTGATTAAAACAACAGTAAAGTTTAAACTTTTAAATCAATAATACATCAGCAAATTATAGTCCGGTCTCACCTTCATTGATGTGGTTCAGTTCCTAATTATCGCAATGACAGGCGGCAGTTAGTCTGCTGCTACTGTTACCAGGGCATCCCCCAGGGATCTGTCATTGGCCCTCTGTTCTTTCTAAACTACATGATTCCCAACAGACAAATAATGTGACGTCAGTCGCTGTTCTAAACTTTCCATCACCCTCATTACTGCATGATTTCATGGCCGAGGCTCTACATGGATTCTTTCTCATGTTTCACACAGAAAAGGCACAAGTTCCGTTTGTGTATTGCTAACAACAGCTTGTATGCTGATTTTTTTTTCCACCAAATGTGTCATGCTGAGGATTGTTGGGAAATGTTACTTTTTTTAATGTAACACATAACAATATTGAGCTAATCATTATAAAAAGTAATGATTAACTATGATTTGCATTACTTTATTTTATTATAGGGGCTGTTCACACAGGACTTTTTTTTTTCAATCTGTATGTAAATATGCACTAAACTGCATGCATCTTGTTGTCAATCTATTTAGACACCATTTCAAGTTAAAAGAGAAAACACAACTCAGGAAGCATTTAGTGCTGCTAAATGGACTAAAATATATCTGCTAAAAGGACTTAAATTTAAGTAATTCTAAATGGATAAAAAGCCTAAAAAATTACAACATCCCCTGTAACCATCCATTTTCTTACTAAATATGTTGACCCCAGATGTCTAGAAGGATCACTTCAGACTGATATTTCTAAAAGTTTCAATCACTTATAGTGAATAGCTCTCCTTGGAAATCAGGGCTCAATCAAGCATGAACAAATTGAGGGAAAAAATCGTCTTCATATCACAGTTTGGCACCCTTGTCCAGCTTACTCTCCTGGACACCTTGGTGGGAGCTCCAATTGATAGGGTATTGGTGGATCATCTGGACATAGCACAATATACATATATACAATATTCTGTGTACCATCTGCAAATATATGATGGATAGATAATATCATTAAGCATTGCAACATCTGATTAATACACATGTCTTTAGAAAGCTGAAGAACATAGACTTTAGCTCTGAGGTTTGATCTCCATCAGTGCCAGTCTGAATGGTCGATTTAAGACAGAGCCGGGTAGATTTCTTACAAACTGTAATCCATTACTGATTATAGATTACATTATAATCTAGGTTACTCATTTTAGATAATGTATTCTGACTACTTTTTAGATTACTTTTAGAATTGAAAAAAAAAAATCTAACTTGTTTTAAACGTACCATTTAACATACAATACGGATATAAAAAAGCAAAGAGAAAGACAATATTCCAAACTGGGCTTAATGTAAGAACTGCAGTGGATTTGTGAGTTGATAAAAAGCTAATAATTAATTAAATCATAAAAATGTAAAATAAAAACAATTTAAACACTTGAACGCTAAAAATAGAAATATTTCATTTAAATATGTAACACTGAACTGTAAACGTGCAAATGTGTTATTAAATTATTGAAATATTAGCTTCCTGAGAGACATTTCAAGTAAATATTTCATGTCACAGTGGTTTGGCTGACAAAAATGTTTGGATATCTCTTTGCTTCATACATGGTCTAATAGCTTGAGAGATGCGGTAACACTTTACTTGAAGGGGTGTGCATAAGACTGACATGACACCTTCATAATCATGACATGACACATGTCATGAATATGAAGGAGGTTTTATGCATGTTTATGACAACTGTCATTAAGTGTCATTCGCTCAGTTATGTCATTTTTAATGCAAATATGACATTATTTGATCTAGCCCTACCCGTACCCTTACCCCTAACCATAGCCCATAACAAAGACATCTCAAACAATGTCATCTTTGCATTAAAAATTACATAACTGAGGGAATGACACTTAGTGACAGTTGTCATAAATATGCATAAAAAAACCTTCATATTCATGACATGTGTCATGTCATGATTATGAATGTGTCATGTCAGTCTTATGCACACCCCTTCAAGTAAAGTGTAACCAGAGATGCTTTTCTCCCCAAAATTCAGAAGAATGGATTGTAAAATGATTTACATGGCCATTCTATATTGTGAATATAGTCAAAGTTAAATGGTATAACACCGTAGAATTTTTAGACAGGAAAATGTAAAAGAGAAAAAATAAGAATTAGGGAGAATCAATAAATTATGAATAATTTACTGCCATTGTGTGAATGCAATCATGTAATGAATAAAAAAGTAACTGTAATATGATTATGAACATTATAAAATGTAATATACTCCAATTACAAGTACTTGATTTTCGGAATCTGATTATGTAATCCAGATTACATATAATCAGTTGCTACCCAGCTCTGATTTTAGACTTTTTTAACTAAATATATCCCACCATCTCTTACATGAAGCATCAGTGAAACTCATCAGAGAACGTAGGTTGTAGGAGGAGTTGCAGGAGATATTAGTTTTTAAGAAAGGAAGACTTTTGTGTCTTTTGGAATGACACGAGGGTGAGTAAATGACGACAACATTTTTTTTTGAGTAAACTATCCTTTTAAGGCAAGGATCATCAATAAAATGTATTTGTATATATAAATACCATGGCGAAGCCTGTTGCCGCATGTGTTTCATAAATGTTTTAATTTCAAACTATTTATTCTGCTGCCAAAACAATAGTGATATTTCACGTTATTAATTTTTAAAAATTTTCATGTAGTTAAAATATGTGCTGTATCTTTTTAAGAGCATTTATGGTAGAATGTTTTTGTTTTTATCAAATCTTTGTGTCTATACTGAAAGTGGCTTTCAAAAATAGGTTTATTCTGAGAAACATTAAAAAGGTTTAATTGAAATATTCACTTTAGTAAAAAAGTGTTTGCCTCACTCCTTCATCTGGATTTGTTATGATTTGGCATGTCAGTTTTGAAAGAAATGTCATAACTGATTGTTTGCTCAATCTCTGCACAGCTTTGTCTGGACTTGCGTCATTTTATGTCACAGAGTCCACATGAACCCTATGGCGCAGCTATACTACAATAAAGCCAGTAACTCCCCGTACCGCGATCGCATCCCGCTGCAGATCGTGAGGGTGGAGGTTGAGCTGTCTGCCAAGGAAAGATCCTACCTGATGGCGGTGGAGAAGGGTGACTATGCTGGAGTTAAACAAGCACTTGAGGAGGCCGAGATCTATTACAACATCAACGTGAACTGTCTGGATCCCCTGGGCCGTAGCGCACTCCTCATCGCTATTGAGAATGAGAACCTAGAGGTGATGGAGCTGCTGTTGAGTCAAGGCGTGCACATGGGCGATGCACTCCTCTACGCCATCCGCAAGGAGGTGGTGGGAGCGGTGGAGTTACTGCTATCCTACAAGAAGCCAAGTGGCGAGAAACAGGTGTGTGAATATTACAAAATATAACATTAAAAAGTGTATAAATCACTCGTTTTTATAAAGAAACATTGTCCAACACCGACACCAGCAGGTAAAGTTAGAGCGGCAGTCCGCGTCTCTCTCGCCTCCTCTGAGCCCATTGAGTTTTAACAGATCCCCTAAAGCGTGCCGCGAGTTTGTTGGGGGGTAATCGAGAATGAATGGGGGAAAGTCACGTGAGAGTCACATCACGATATGACTGATGATTATGTTCGGCTCTGATTGGTTCATGTGATAAATCCCGCTAAATCTTGTGTTCGTGCACGTTCCGCGTTCGCGAATCAGACTGAATAAACAATATAATGGCATAAACGGGAAGACTAAATTAAAAAAAGCAATTAAACAACTCACACACTTAGATATAACCAATTTGGTACGTCAAAAAAAGACTTAAAATGGCATGAATTGAAAACATGATCTGTGGGAGTTTTTAGTGAGTAGCCTAATCAGCTTGGTGAAATGTAATAAACAATCATTTAATATTGTGTTACATTTTAGACACAATATTGTCAATATTGCCTGTTTTTGTGCAATTTCGCCAATGAAAATATTACCTATAAAGCCATACGAGAACTGTTGTGCGTCTCTGATCAACACACAGAGGTGTTTAATTACTGAATGAATCCACGGTTTTGAATGAATTGATTGAGCTAATGATTCCGTGAGCAATTCATAAATACACGGTGCGCTCCAAACGGGATATATCGCCCTCCGAAGGGCACTTCAGAGTGAAAACAATCATGGCCGCCATATTGAAGGGTCGTTCCAAACCGAAGTGCTCAAAACTGGCCACTTCAAAGGGCCCTTCGGAATGAAGGATACAACTGATGGACACTTCGGGCCCCCAAGATCCTTTGCACAAAGTTGTTTGGCATCACAGAGTTCGGCTTCACCTATAAATGTATGTTTAGTTTTTTTCTATACTACTGTAATATTTATATGAGTTAGATTTGGTGCATTATTATGGTCAAAACGTCATTGTACCTAAACAACAATACTTTACAGCTACCTTTATCAGTCCATTCAAATGTTTCAAATACATAGACACAAAATACATTACAAATACATATTACATTACATATACAAATACAAATTATATTTTACATTTTGTATGCTGGCATCAACCAGCGTACAAAATGTGCGACGAACGGACGAAGTAACCTCCTTGATCATCTTGTTAAGATGACGCAGAAGTGCGTTCCAAAAAAAACCCCAACCCAAACCAAACCCCTACACCCTTTACCCCTTTCGAAGCTCTCAACCTGGAGGGTAAACCCTTTGAAGGGATTAGGGCATAGGGATGAACCCTTCTGAATGAAATGCAGGGATATCATAAAATAAAATGAATCAGCTATTTGAACGAATCGGTTGAATGAATGACTGAATGGCTCACTCATTAAGCCAGTAATTTGCTGCCACCTACTGGCTCTTTTAGTTTTATATTAAAAGTATTGTTGTTTGTTTTTTAATAATATCATAATATCAATAGTTTTAATAATATCATATTTCAGTATAAGTGTGTTTTTGTATGTTGAATCAAAATATTTCTTTATTAAGCTACTTTTTTGTAATGTCTATTCAGTGCTTTTCTAATTTGACACAATAATGACTTTAAATGATCTGTTATATTGACTGAAATTAATCGACCCATGATTTACCAATTAATTAATCTAATTAACTTGAGATTAATTTGATTAATTAATCGGCACATTGTGTAATTAATTAGATTAAAACATTTAATCACTCTGATTAAATGTCCAACATAAAACATAAAAAATACACAATAAATTCATGTTAAAAAATCGTGCTCTGACACCATCCCCCACCACAACCACCCCACCCCCACCCACCAAATTCACACCCTAAAATAAAATAAAAAACAACTTTCTGAAATGTCTCAGTCAAATCTCAATCAATGTTTCAACCACGGAAAGACGTCAGTGAAACAGCTTTAGTAAACAATATATTGGGTAGTTATTTTTACTTCACTTAGCGATGTCTAATTTATATGAATAAATCTGTCGTTGCAACAAGCCACCGTTTAAATGTTTATATTTCAACAAGAATTCTAGTATAAACATAATTATATAATTAAAAAGTTGATATAAAATAGCCTTATGTGCAATTTAAATGTTTGTATTCAACATTTTGAGTGGTGATTATTACCAATTTGTATGCATTAGTTGAGAGACTGTTTTTGGCATTAGTTGAGCTATTGATTGTTTTCAATAACTGACACGTACTGTACGTGATATCCAAATGCATCAATACCTAATCAAAATTGCACATGAATCGAATCAAGAGCTAGCGAATCAGAATCGAATCGATTTGTGAAATCTGTGTCAATACCCAGCCCTATTGTAGAGTTTCAGTCCTTGCTGTAATTTTTATTTTTTATTATTATTATAACTTTTTTTTTTTTGTCCTGCTAGAAGTTCTGGGGAGCACAGATTGAAATCATGTACACGTAATGTAGCTTTCAGAACTCAAAATGTTCACTCCAGTCCAAAAAGAGAAGGCTATTTACTGAAATCAAGCATCAAAACAACTCATTCTTCCTTAACTTTGTGACATCATGCAGTTGTATTCATCAACACTTCCATCCATATTTACATGTAAAATTGGTGGTGATGGACATTTGAACTTGTCAAATATGCCAAGTTCAAGTGTCCATAAAAAAATATTTAAAAAAAAGGTAAAAACTGATGGAAATTTTAATTTTGTTAGAGCCGTAACCATAGTATTAAGCCCTTATTGCCCTCAAAGGGAGGCAGCTAAAAGTTGGCGCAAATTGGGCTGATGGCGCAATAAGCGGGGCTCTCAAGGGTCAAGGGTCCTTAAGGTCTCTGATCATTTTAGAAGGCCAATTGACACTGCACCGACAAATGGTAACAGACACATTTGTCGGGTTTTGTCTGATTAGTGTCTGTTGGTAAATTCTGTATTTTAAAAAATGTATAGGATACTTCTGCTAATGTGTCTGAGGTAAGAACGAAATGAAAGACAATCTACTTTAGATTGTTTATTGTGCAAAAAAGTAACTTTTCAATGACCATAGGAACCCTAATTCAGTATTGGTTCAAAGGTAAAGTTCCAATCTATGGTTTCCAAAATTTCCATAAAATGAAAAAGTTTAATTTAGGTAGTGGCCCTAAAGTAGAAGAAAACAGTGCACAATGTCTCCACTAATTCACACATGTAACTAATTTACTTTACCAAATCATGATTCATCAACAATTGAGCTGAAGGAGCTCAGTAAAGTGGAGAACGAGTTCTGGCAGGAGTACGAGGAGCTGTCACAGCAGTGCAAACTTTTTGCTAAAGACTTGCTGGATCAGGCCCGTAGCTCCTGTGAGCTGGAGACCATCCTCAACCATCGGGATGACCACAGCGAGGAGCTGGACCCCCATGAGTGCAGAGACCTGGCCAAGCTCAAGCTAGCCATCAAGTACCACCAGAAAGAGGTGAGTATCCTAGACCGACAGATTTTAAGAAGGGATTACGGATCTGAGTGACCACGTCCTACTTCACTATCCTCAGGGGTATGAATCTTGGTTAGACAGCAAATGCTGGGTTAAAAAGGGACAAACCCAGCTATTGGGTTGTTTTGACCCAGCGGTTGGGTTGTTTTGACTCTGGGTCAACAATTCTAAAAAATTGAATCTGTGATTCAATTCTAAAGCGATTCTTGCTAAATCAGAATGATTTGATTCATCATAAAGTTTGATTCAATTAATCAAATTCAATTCTGTATTTTAAAAAATGTATAGGATACTTCTGCTAATGTGTCTGAGGTAAGAACGAAATGAAAGACAATCTACTTTAGATTGTTTATTGTGCAAAAAAGTAACTTTTCAATGACCATAGGAACCCTAATTCAGTATTGGTTCAAAGGTAAAGTTCCAATCTATGGTTTCCAAAATTTCCATAAAATGAAAAAGTTTAATTTAGGTAGTGGCCCTAAAGTAGAAGAAAACAGTGCACAATGTCTCCACTAATTCACACATGTAACTAATTTACTTTACCAAATCACGATTCATCAACAATTATTGACCAAAATAATAATAATAATAATAATAATAACCAACTACAATTATACTGCCAAAAAGCATCTTTCTCACAAGAATGACATTATATTATGAATTATTATGAATTATTTCATTATATTGTGCTTTTTTTCTATCCTTTTTTTTTTTTAGATCTTGGAAAGTGTGTGTTTTTTTATTTTTGCTCACAGCTAGTCTCCATGAAGAACTAAAACTGGGTTTCTCTCTGACTTGAAACATTAGCAAGGTTATGAATGCATGTGAGAGTTAACCTTAAAGGTGGGGTAAGTGATTTCTGGTAGCCAATGTTGATATTTCAAATCACCAAAACAAACACGCCCAGAAAAAAGGGTTTCGCCCCTTTTTTTTGATAGGTCCGCCCCACACATTCGTACGCAACCCAGGCAACGATTAATTCTGTGAAACAAAGCAAAACCAATGTTACACCGTGTCTACACCGGATGCGAGTGGCGCGGTGCGACAAACTCATTATAATCAGTGATGTTGTCTACACTGGATGCGGCTCAAAACGACAAATCCCCGACAGAAAACTTCTGCTGCGTTCTATTTATGACATACTGACACAGATTTCAAATGATTTTCTGCTGTCGCTTTATCGCGTCCAGTGTAGACAGACTTTAGCTGTTGCTGCTCGGAGCGACAACTGTCGCGTCCGGTGTAGACACAGTGTTATTCACCCATATCGAGAAGAAACAAAGCAACCTCGGCGTCCGATCGCAGGCCTTCCGCTCCTTGAGTTCTCTCCAGCGCTGGAAGGCTGATCTGATATTTACACGGGTCCTAGCCTACTTCTTGCCTTATCGTAAGCCTTCGTTTGTTCCAGAGACGTTTTCCTCTTTTGTTTTTTATCCGCTATCTCTTATATTTCTGCCGCTCGGCTCGGCTAATGTCCGTCCTGTGCACTGAACGCTCTCCTCCACATCATGAGTAGACACGCCCCTTACTGCTGATTGGCTACAAGTTTGTTTTGGTCCTCGGCCCACTCAGTTTTCTAAAGCGTTTTTGAAAAAATACATACCCCACCTTTAAACTTGAAAACTTTTACTATTATCATCAAAAACAGGAATTGGTTTAGTCATTGTGTAAGCGCATTCTCCTTGTGGCATTTTATAAGCAGCTTATGAGATAAATATAAATAAAATGCAGTGTTTTGATCATCCTTAATATCAGTAAAGCATGTATAAACCTGTAAACATTTGTCTTGTCCTCAAGCATCAAATTATGTTTTCTCTACATCATGTTGCCTTAATAATAATGTATCATTTTTGGCTGTGCATTGAATGCAGTGTATGGGAATCTTGTCCTCCTCATGCATTTTATTGATCCTAGTTTTTTCCCCCCTCATTTATCAACAATACATCTCTTGCTGATAAATAAATAAAATAATAAAACAAAATATTAAATACAAAAATGAAATAATTTAACAAATAAAAATATGAAAAATGTAATTACCAAACCAGGACATTTAAATACCATTAAATACCAAACCAGGACATTAAAAAGTTTTCTTAAAGTAAATCAGAACTTTTCTTATTTCCCTTAGAAATTATATCTTGAGATAAATTGCTTTCATAAGATCTGTTGTTTTCTAATGCTGATAGAATAATTGCAAAATGTTTTCATGAGAGGTGACAGTTGCCATTGCCCACAGCAGAAATGACTCCTTTCATAAAACATAATAACATTGCATAGCAATGTAGGTCAGGCTGCAAGAGAAAAATGTGATTTGAGAAACATTATTTATACGATGATTATGGACAGGCACATCATTTTCCACCTGTATTGTGTAAAAGGGAGCGATTTCTGGGTATTTGAGAATTATTATTATTTATTTTTTAAAAAAAATGAAATAATTTAACAAATAAAAATATGAAAAATGTAATTACCAAACCAGGACATTTAAATACCATTAAATACCAAACCAGGACATTAAAAAGTTTTCTTAAAGTAAATCAGAACTTTTCTTATTTCCCTTAGAAATTATATCTTGAGATAAATTGCTTTCATAAGATCTGTTGTTTTCTAATGCTGATAGAATAATTGCAAAATGTTTTCATGAGAGGTGACAGTTGCCATTGCCCACAGCAGAAATGACTCCTTTCATAAAACATAATAACATTGCATAGCAATGTAGGTCAGGCTGCAAGAGAAAAATGTGATTTGAGAAACATTATTTATACGATGATTATGGACAGGCACATCATTTTCCACCTGTATTGTGTAAAAGGGAGCGATTTCTGGGTATTTGATCATTATTATTATTTTTTTTTTTTTCAGTGCTAAAATACAAACCTCAGATTAACTGTAAAATTGTGTGAGAACATGCAGGGTTGGGGTGGTGTGGCATAATGGACTGGTAGATGAAAGTTTGCAGGTTTAAACCTCACAAGGGTTTATTTGTGAATCATCAACACTGGGCTCTTGAGCAAGTCATTCCAGGTTACTCCAGGGCAGGGCAAGTTCAGTCCTAGAGAGCCGCAGTCCTGCAGAGTTCAGCTCCAACCCTAATCAAACACACCTGAATAAGCTAATCAATGTCTTCAGGATTACTAAGGCTAAAGGCAGGTGAGGTTTTTTTTCAGGGTTGGAGCTGAACTCTCTAGGACCGAACTTGCCTACCCCTGCTCCAGGGCAATAGATCTTGCAATAAGTGTAATGTCATTTTTAGATAAAAGTTTTCCAGTGATAAAAGTAAAACTAAATGACTTCTTACTCAAAGTCTGACAGTTTGATTTAATAATTGATTTCACCTCAAATGACTGTGGAAAAAGATATTACGTAATGACATGAATGTCAAACCCCACTGATGTTTACTCACTTAAAAACCTTTTCAACATTTATGCTTTTTTCATATCATTTGTTGTCAGTTTATGTGGCCTTGTTTGCTTTTCTTAGGATGATTGATAGATAGTATTAAGAGAAAAAAATTAACATTAAGTTAAAATATGGGTAAATGTCACAAAGAATGACTGAAGTGACTTGCAATAGAGGAACATAAGCACTTCATCACAGATTCAAAACAAAACAAAACAGCAAACAATAGAGGAACATAAACACTTTGTCACAGATTCAAAAGAAAACAAAACAAAAGAAAACAAAGGAAAACAAAACAGCAAACAATAGAGGAACATAAACACTTTGTCACAGAGGCAACAATTAAACAAAACTAAAATTTTTACATATGTACATTTTTTTCATTACATTACATATTATTGTATAATAATCTATAAGAGATTTATATGTATATATATATATATATATATATTGGGAAGAAATGTGCTTAATTTTGATCAAATTAATAGCATAATACAAAAGATTTATATGAACCACTTTATTTAATACATTCATATTATTATAAATCATATACCAAGTTACCAAGAATATGTGCAAAACATCTGTATGATTTTAACATCCATTTAACACTTTTAATGCATGAATGTTAAGCAGTTAAAATATTTTGCCAGATACTGAATACCATCTTTATCTGTATTTGTCATGAATTTCACCGGCTTATTAGATCATTCAACTATTATTATATTCTCAGTTTGTAGCTCAGCCCAACTGCCAGCAGCTCCTGGCAACACTGTGGTATGATGGGTTCCCAGGTTGGAGACGACGTCACTGGGCAGTGAAGCTTGTCACTTGCTTCATCATTGGCCTGCTCTTCTCTGTCTTCTCCCTTATATACCTTCTGGCTCCAAAGAGCACCCTGGGAACCTTCATCAAGAAACCTTTCATCAAGTTCATCTGCCACACTGCCTCCTATCTGACCTTCCTCTTCCTCCTCCTCCTCGCCTCACAGCATATCGTGCAAACTGACCTGCATGTACAGGGACCTCCACCCACCATCGTGGAGTGGATGATCTTACCCTGGGTTCTAGGTAAGGCTTCTATTAATGAAATAAAAGTCACTTAAGAGAGTATGTATGTTTCTTAACACACTTTTGAAAAATGTACTTTGTATTAGTTTCAAATTAAAAGTTTTAAATCATTATTTTTCATCAATCTTTTGTCATTCACTTATTATGATGTTGACTAACATTCTAAAGCACATAAAAGTACTTCATTATAATTTTAGCTGTAGTGTGTTATTCAATATTATATTTAAAGTTAATATGAAGAGTTCAGATGCAAAAGCCTCTAAGTGCCATCTGAAAATGTCTTCTAAAATTAGCATTTTTTGTATGTTTAGGTTCAGAAAATTCACTTTAATGGCAATGTATAGGTCCTTTTCTATGCCATTAAAGTGAAATAAATGAACATAAACATAGGAGCCTGATAAAAATGCTAATTTTAGAAGAAATTTTCAGATGGCACTTTTTGCATCTGAATTCAACTTCATATATTTTTAATGTAAATGTGTAATTACTAGTGCTTTCAAACGATTAATCGTGATTAATTGCATCCAAAATAAAAGTGTTTGTTTACATATTATATGTATGTGTGCTGTGTATATTAATTATGTATATAAATACACACACATGCATGTACGTATTTCAGAAAAATACGTTATGTTTATATATTAAATAAATTTATTTATAATATAAATTATATGAATATAAATATAGACATGTAAATACATGTAAATATTTTCAAAATATATACTGTATCGGTGTGCATTTATATATATACTTAATAAATATACACAGAACACACACATATATTATGCAAACAAAAACTTTTATTTTGTATGTGATTAATCGCGATTAATCGTTTGACAGCACTAATTATTACAAATGTATTTAAATGCATGGCATAAAAGGTTTCAATATAAAAAAATACATTAACGTGTATTGTAATTTACTATTAACACTTCTCAGCACATTTGGCAGTACACTTAACCATATTTCAAAGACAGTAGAAGTAAGAAAATACAAATAAAGAGGTACTTAAGACCTTTTTTAAGATCAGCTAATTGCATTTAATATAAATTTAAAGTCTTATACATTTTCATTTCATTCTAAATAACACTTGCAGATGCAATTAAGTGTCTGAAACTATATTAACTATTAACTATATTAAAATATATATAATATATTTATAATCTAATATATTTATTTAATATATTAGATATAATAATATATTATATCTGATATCTAATAATATATTAGATATAATATATTCAATAAAATACATTTATATTTTTTCCATAATACAGAAATATTTTTCCATACTTTTTAAAAGTATGCTGTACTTCTTTAGCTCATGTAGTAAGTGTACTTTTGCACATGGGATGTACCTTTTCAAACTTCTTTTCAGAGTCTTTTTCATTGTCTACAACACTTTAAAGCAGAATTTTTAAAATCCCCATGCAGAAAATTATTAGGAAAAATAAAATGGGTGGACACTGTTGTGCTGGAATTCAAAGTGTAAAAATCTAGTCTCAAATATCCATTTAGCTCAAATAATGAAGAAACGCTGATCTGTAACATTCATTTAGTTGGCTCATTTCTCAAGCAGTAAAACTGTTCGACTGCACAGGAAATAGATATGGCAGTGGTTTTATCCCTCTCATGAAGTAAATTAATACTCATGAATTATTGATATCATAATTTATTGACCTCAAGACAAAAACAGAGGAAATTATATCTCAAGCCCCCAGTTCAGGATTGATTACACCAGGGCTCAATCATAATGGCTTGAGGTTTTCTCTCAAAGCAAACACAAGCCCAGATGTAGAGGCTTGAAACAAATGATCTGTAATCTGGAGGACAGGTGCAATCAGTGAGAACGGAGTTTGCTTTATTTCTCTGAATATGAGCACTAGGCAGTGGAGCAATGAAAATGTATATATGTTAGCCTAACAATAATCGTATGTTTTCTGCTTTCTGTTCCTGTATTTCTGTATTCCTCAACTGTAAGTCGCTTTGGATAAAAGCGTCTGCCAAATGATTAAATGTAAATGTTAAAAGTTCATTTCAATTAATTAAGTTTGGGGACATGTTACAGAGGCCCCGAGGGGCAGGGTGGGACGATTGTCCAGAATTATTTTGATCTTAACACAGCCATTATTAACTTTAAAAAAAAATGTGTTCACCTTGCCATATAGGGGTTATGTAGTGAAAGTGGACAGTGTTTCCCACAGACTTGCACTCTATTTGTGGCGGCATATATGCAAATTCATTCTCTGCCAGCAGGAGGCGCTTGTAGAGCAGGAGAAACAGAGGTTTCTCCGGTAGCCGCTGTACACAAAGCAGCACTCCGCTCACAAACGCTGCTTTATCAGACATTACATGCAAGAAGAAATGAAAACGACATCCAAAATTTTCTGAAGACAGGCGGTTTCCTTCAGAAACACAGTTATATAAAAACACCTGCACCGGGTTTCGATTTTGAAACGTGCAGTACTCATGTTTATTCAACAAAGTCAAAGCCTTTTGGAAAATCTATTTGTGGCGGTCAGTTTTGATATTGTGGCGGGCCGCCACAAATAAATCAATCTATGGGAAACACTGGTGGAGGAACTGCACTTTTTGTACTGTTGTGCAGTTATTGTAATATTTTTCATTTTTAATTTTGGTCCTTGCAGGCTTCATCTGGGCGGAGATTAAAGAGATGTGGGATGGCGGTTTCACAGAGTACATCCATGACTGGTGGAACCTAATGGATTTTGCGATGAACTCCCTCTACCTGGCCACTATATCTCTTAAAATGGTGGCCTACTTTAAGGTTGATAACAGCATTTTTATGAAATCTACAGCACTAGAGTTGATACCATCGCAGAAGACCACTTGCAAATAGTTCGTACCAGGAACTAGAACTGTCTTCATTTATCTCTCATATCTTCTCTCTCCATCAGTACAACAGCTCCCGTCCTCGTGTGGAGTGGGAGATGTGGCACCCTACGCTCATCGCAGAGGCTCTCTTCGCCATCGCCAATATCTTCAGCTCGCTGCGTCTCATCTCTCTGTTCACCGCGAACTCTCACTTGGGCCCACTGCAGATCTCTCTCGGCCGCATGCTGCTGGATATCCTCAAGTTTCTTTTCATCTACTGTCTGGTGCTGCTGGCCTTCGCCAACGGCCTCAACCAGCTCTACTTCTACTATGAGACGAAGGCGTCCGAAGAGCCCAACCACTGCAAAGGGATCCGTTGTGAGAAACAGAACAATGCCTTCTCTACGTGAGTGAAATATATTTTGAAGTTCTTTTCGTAGAATATCACGGCTAAAAAGAAGTACACTTTAGCAAACTTTTAAAGAGGCTACTGTATATGTAGAATTCAGAAACATTTGTTATTAGCGACACGCGTGCACCATAGACTGTATAAAAAAGTCACCCGTGACATCACCCATAGGTTTCCGAAGAGCGTATTTGAAGCTCAAAGTGGGCTGCCATCTTGGCAGCGCGTCACCACGCGTAATCGAAAATGGGCAAAGAGGCGGGAGCTGGTTGCTGAAACCGCACCCACCGAGCTCGACGCCGGTGACAGCAGCGGCAATCCACCAGTCACTCAAGTGGTCACGCCCTTAATTATGCAGAACTTTAAAGCTTAATATAATTTAAACGGATGAGTTATTAAAAAATTCACCGCCCTCACAGTTGTCATGAAGGGCAAAATTAACTATAAAGACCAAAATAATTTTTTGAACCAGGTTGTAAACATGTTTTTTTTTGCTGTAAAGTTGGGCATTTTAACATGGGGAGTCTATGGGATTGACTCCCTTTTGCAGCCAGTTGATGAATTGCAGTTTAAGTCACTTCCGTTTTGGCTTCACGAGAGAGAGCGGGAGGTTGCCGCTTGGCGTGCACACGTAATTTGAACATGCTCACAACCAAGTTCGTACTTTTTTGTACTTTGCTTAAAAGTAAACAGAAGTTGTAAATACCTAGATATACTATTAGTGAACATCCATTTAGTGTTTAGATGAATATGTAAATATGTGCTGCACGCTTTCCTCTCAATAACAAAATAAACACAACAAAAATGACAGCATCTGGTCCTAGCGATGTGGATATGTTTGCACTAGCTCTACAATTCAATTGCAAATTTTGCATTTGCATAACTCACAGACTACTTGAAATACACTAGTCATCTTTTGATACAAGAAACAAATATAGGTGCACTAATTAATAATACAATTGTTATATTTTCACTAATAAGGACAGGACTATAATATTAAATTGAATGCAAGAAGTCAAGAGTGTTACGATTGCCCCCTTGTGGGTGTTGCCCCCCAACAGTGTTTGGGGGCAATTGTAACACTGAAAAATAAGTCATATTAACCCACTGTATCTCAAATAAAAGCCTACCTCAAAGTAATGACTTTACTGCTGTTGTATCAATAAGATAAAAATGTATGTAAGTTTAAATTCTCAGTCATCGAAACTTTAGACAGCAGAAGAAAAAGTACTGTGCATCCAAAAAGTAACTTTCATACCTCAAAATCAGTTTTTTGTTAAAAACTTCTGCTTAGGTATAATGATTGTGCTCCTTTTTCACAGGCAGAGAGAGAATCCTACCGAGCATGTGCAGATTAAGTGTTGTCACGCTAGCTTGTTTATGATTGGAGGAATTCCCCCCCCAAAACTTTTTTAAAGTTTTGTTATTGGCAATAAAAAAGAGATTAATACATGAAAATCTTACATATAGCCCCTTTAAAAAGAGTACTTTAAAAGAATAAGTGCAAACTGAATGTAATGTTTTCACACACATAACTGCATGTTACTAGCAATTAAATAAAAATACATTATAGTTATAATTATATAATACATAATTTATATTAAAAGCAGCTGATCTTTTGAGTGCTGCATGTAATTTCATAATTCATTTTATTTTCATACAAATATGGTTAAAGTGTACTACTGAATGTACTTAGCATTTATAATAAACAAGGATATACTTTAATGCAATTTCTACTGAAACGTGCATAGCACTTATTTAAACATATTTGTAAAGCTGAAGTTGGAATTTAGTAGATTTAAAATATAAAATATATTCACTTTAAATGTAATAGCGAAAAACACACTACAGTTAAAATTGTATTCAAGTACTTTACATGTGCTTTATTATGTTAGTAAACACATCAAAATAAGTGTACTTCTATAAAAAGACAAAAGATTATTAACACGATTATTTAAAATATACCTGAAAGTAAAACTTTTGATGTGATATTATAAGCAAGTACACTGTACTTAAGTGTGTTAAGGAACATAGTCATGAAAGTATACTCTCTTTAAGTACATTTAAGTGGCCTTTTATTTAATTAACATTATATTATCTATAAGTACAGTTTTAAAAAAAATGTTTATATGCTTTTAAGCTTGAAATACACTTCATGTGCACCTTCAATACAAATAAGTGCACTTAATTTCCATAAACTGAAAGTAGATGGTGACCAGTGGCTGTCAAGGTCCAAAAATGACAAATAGACAAAGAACAGTTAAAACCAGCCTAAGATGGTTTGCTTAATCAGGTCTTCTAGCCTTGCTAAGAGGATATCTAACTATTTTAGTTGGGCATCCAGCTAAAAAGTGGCAAAAATCAGTCAACAGACCAGCCTGACCAGGCAAAATCACTAAAGAAAACCAGAAACTAGCTTTATTTTTTTTCAGAAGAGTGTCTAATAAAAGTGGTCAATACAACTTGAGAAACAATTTTCTGAAGCCAAGATAAATTTGAGTCTAGACTGAATGGGGCTCGCTAAAAACAATGTTAACCACATTAAAGTAGTTTGTCAGCTGGTTCAAGCTGATCTAGTTGGTCTCTGAGCCTGACCTGAACCTAAATTGGTCAGACTGGTCTGTTGTCTGGTTTTAGAAGGGTTTTGGTCACTTTTCAGCTAGTCAGTCTGGAACACAGCTAAACTAGCTGAGCACCAGCTGGACTAGGCTGAGAGACCATCTTAAACCAGCCATGGCCAGCTAAGACCACAAACCAGCTCAGCTTTTTTGGCTTGAACATATTTTCTGTTTTCCTAGAGTCAGATGTAAAAACGTCCTGCATGTTGAGGACATTAGACATTAGATGATAATGACTTGGCTCAACAGTCAAGCTCCCTGCTTGGCTTTGCAGTAACAGAGGTCTTATAGCTTTGATAATAATCGAAATAAATGAACTATGATGCACCTATTACAAAACCCAAACCGACACTTTGGTCAACTTGATCAATGAATATAATGTGGCCACAGATGCCACAAGCAGCGTAATGCTGACCTCCTGCAGAGATCAAAATGAGAAAGAAACGAGAGAGGAAACAAGAGTGGAAATGGTTATGATCTTCCTGAAATTTCACATCATAGCATGAGCCTTGCAGAATCACTTGATCTCATAGGACGAAGACAAATTTATAGAGCAGCGTGGCATCCATCAACTGTTGTGTAATGATGAGAATCTGTTGCTCAAGGCTGTGCAGTAATAGTGTGTTCAGAAATGGGAAGAGATTTCAATGAGAACAATATATTTCCAAACTACTTCTGAGAGGGCTTATATTTGATTTGTTCAAAGTAAAAACGGTCAGGAAAAAATACTATCCACATTCAGTGCATAACAGGAGGAACAATTTTAATTGAATTGGCGGCTCCCCATATGAAAATAAATATGAATTTGAATTGGATGTCCCATATCTCCATATCTATCTATCTATCTATCTATCTATCTATCTATCTATCTATCTATCTATCTATCTATCTATCTATCTATCTATCTATCTATCTATCTGTCTGTCTGTCTGTCTGTCTGTCTGTCTGTCTGTATCTCTTTCATATGTCTACCATTATCTTTCCAGCCATCCTTCCATTCATCCATCCATTTTAAAGGAGTTAAAAAAACTTCAAAACATTCAAACAAGGGTTTGTCAAGTTTGTGTTTAAAGTTAGCTATAATAAATATTTAATTATACATTCTTACGTATTTGGTCACTTACAGTAAGTTACAGTGTCCCGATGGATTCAGCGAAAAATGCCTTTCTTTATGTTTGTCTATGCTTATTAAACTGGGATAAGTAAATTATCGTTATTATTAAAATAAATTATAATTGAAAAAGTTTACAGTTTGTTTTCTTCTTGGCTGTATTTGATTTTTTTTTTTTAAACAGTATGTAATTTTTACAAGTTGCAGGCTGTTGAGGAAAAATAGCTTAGAACCATTCCAATTCAGTTCCATTTCAATTCTAATTTTCCTATATACAGTACATCACTTGGTGTGTATATGTCTGTTTGGGAGAAGCTGGAGATATGACAATTCTCACTTTGTGTCTTTCTTTATTTCCCTCTCTCTCTTTGACTTCTCAGGCTATTTGAAACTCTTCAGTCTCTCTTCTGGTCTGTGTTTGGGCTGTTGAATCTGTATGTCACCAATGTGAAGGCTCGTCATGAGTTTACCGAGTTTGTGGGGGCCACCATGTTCGGCACTTATAATGTCATCTCACTGGTGGTGCTGCTGAACATGCTCATCGCTATGATGAACAACTCTTACCAACTCATTGCTGTAAGTGCCATCAGATACTGATGATTATTTTTATATTGTAAAGTTTACACTACTTTCACATAAATTGTTTGGTATTGAAAGAACGTTTGAGAGTATTAGAGCAACCTAATGTCTAAAATCAGTTTTAATCATGCCCTCTTTAAATGTGGCCAAAATTCAAATTCACTAAAAAAAGAAATTTGCAAACAGTATTTCAGAGCAAAAACTACTTGCAATGAGTTTGACCAGATGCTAAATGTTCTGAAATAGCTCTGTCATATTTAAATTAAGTACATTTGCTAGATATAAATAATATCCTGCTAAAAAGAACATCTGGTCTTAATCTTAACCTTGCCAAGATGGTATTTAGCAAGTTTAGTTGGGCGACCAACTGAAAAGTGGCTAAAATCTTTAAAAATAAGGAATATGATAATGTGCCTTACTGATAAAACTAACAGCTACTTGTATTGTATTTGTGCAATTAACAACACAAAAAACGAGTGTCCATGACCAAAATCTTGTTTAAAACGTGTGCCAAGCTATTAATATTCCTTCTGTTCTTTGTGTATTGTTTTGGTTTTGAAAAACTTTAATATAAAAAAAAAAAGTAATGTGGTGTAACCATCAAATAAAAAGTGTGCAGAAAAGCTTTAAATAAAACAACTGATAAAACTAACAGCTACTTGTATTGTATTTGTGCAATTAACAACACAAAAAACGAGTGTCCATGACCAAAATCTTGTTTAAAACGTGTGCCAAGCTATTAATATTCCTTCTGTTCTTTGTGTATTGTTTTGGTTTTGAAAAACTTTAATATAAAAAAAAAAAAAGTAATGTGGTGTAACCATCAAATAAAAAGTGTGCAGAAAAGCTTTAAATAAAAATTTTTTCCAAGTTATTTTTTTAAATAAAAATCATGAATTATTCAATTATTCATAAATCAGTTTTTGGAAGTTGCACCACATGACTTTTTTAATCCTCAACAAATGTCTTGTCATAAAAAGATCAAATTATTTGATATCAAGGGTCTTGATTTCTGACAATCATGAGGGTCTTTAGGACCCCCGTCTATGATATAATGTCCAGTTTTATGTTTATACAGGTTTTCTGGATGTGAATTCCCCTCAAAATGTTTAATATTCTTACATTACATAATGTTTTTGTGTATGTATTGAATATTAAATCCATTAGTATCTTACTAAAAGATCATCATATTTTAGCAGTTTTGTTACAGTCAGATGGGTTCATATCTGTGTATTTTTCAGCATGTTAGTTTTGTGTTTATATAAGCTGCATTTAGAGGCATTTTCACCCCTGCATGTGTCTCACAATGGGAACTGTTATCCAAGTAAACACAATTCTGAGTAAGCGCACATCATCCAGTCACAAGATGAATTTCGCAGCAACAAAAGCCAGTCTGGGACACTATCCCAATTGGCACTTTCAGCACTGTCCTCCATCCAACTGGCTGTCTGTTTCTCTGCTGTAGGATCACGCGGACATTGAGTGGAAATTTGCTCGCACCAAGCTGTGGATGAGCTACTTTGATGAGGGAGGGACGTTACCACCACCCTTCAACATCATACCTAGTCCAAAGTCTGTGTGGTACCTGTGTGTGTGGCTGCACTGCCGTCTGTGTGGACATGGAGAGTCTAGGCATGAGGACGAGTGTAAACACGAAAACCTCAAAGAGTTCACGGTAATGCACAGTGCGCTTTCCTTCTGTATGCGCGTGGGTGGCACATTATAGCTTTCATTCAATGATGTAACACAGTCCTTGACAAAAGCAAACAAAAACAGCATAATTGTCATTATAAACAGTGATTTTTGAAGAATAGTGAAGAAATAGTGAAGGCAAGCTACTCTGCTCGTCCTTTGTTAACTCTGTATCCTGAGTATTATATTTTGTTTGTGCTGTGGACATGATTTACATCTCGAAGCATGTGGTTTATTGAAGAAAGGTTTGCTAATCATTTTCTAAAAAAAAAAATCTGATTTGGCCTGGTGGATGATTAAACAGGCAAAAAAAAAAAGAGAGAGAGAGAAGCACCCATTCAGAACACCATTGCAACCAACCTGGAGTTCCTTGGTTCCTTTAAGACAAGTCAGTTCACAAGGCAGTCATATATATATGCCCTTGGGCAGCTATTTCAACTCATACAAGTACAGATCTTCTTATAGTGAAAGAAGACCAAAATATACATCACTGTTAACTATAACATATTTCAAATCAGAAATATAATCTGACAACAACTATTTCATCATAATTAGTGCTTCTTTGGCTCATATCACTCAAAAAACTTTTTCATGTACGTGCTAATTCTAGACTCTAGCCAGTGTCGCGCTAGTAAAGTTTTGATGGATGACGATTGTGTTCAAGGTAAAGATGATTATAGTGACATACAGGAGTCGTACATTAGGCGCACGTGTACTCATTACTATTGATGCGTAAATGAACCGTGATCACTATAACATTATATTTCTGCTTGAACACAGTTCAGCATATTCACGTAGTTGTCAAAATTAATGTGCAGCGAGTGTTTTAATAATGGATGGTCGTTTTGGAGAAGTTTGTGAGGATCAGATGCATCAGATGCTCCAAACACAGACACGATCACCTGTTTTGACAGAGAGAACCAAAGTCCCTTTAAGGCAAGTCATGTCACTTGGCAGCCATCTTTGAAACGCTTCTTGGGCATGCAAGTGCAGCTCCTATCTCTTTGAATCAGGAAACATCAATTTTTCCAAAACTGTTCACCAAGCTTATGATTAAATTTCATATTTGAAATCACCAATGAAATCTGACAACAACTGTCTCATAAATGTTGCTTCTTTTGCTCAAACAGCGTTAAAAAAAGTTTATTTTTCAGGCTAGACCAGCCATTGCGCATGCGCAGTCCTAAGTGTGCGTCTCAGAACCTTGACTGTTTCTTTAGCAACCGGGCAGCCTTCAGATCGCTGAGTTTTTTTTCATTTAATCAGAATGTTTACATTTTTCATTGTATTTTGGTTTGTTTAGCAATTCTGAATGGATCTGTTTATTAGTTTACATGCAGTCCATCTCCCTGTGGTCTTGCTTGATATGGCAGGTTGACTTTTGCTTATTTGTTTGTATAACTGAGATTTACGTAGCCTACTTTTAAGTACTTTTAAGTTGTAAAGAATATCTGCAGTGATATTTTTGCGAAGTATGTTTGCAAAAAAGAACACTGAATGATTGTAATTTGAAAATACAAAAATGCATAAAATATTTGCAAGCAATCATTTGAAGTGCAAAAGACAGTGCCATTATAGTCGAGTAAGGTACAACATATTTAATAATAGTGGAGTTAGATACACACATAAGAGAAAGAGTTATAACTTATAAACAACATATTCTTTAATCCTAACACTAGACACTAAAATATTATTGAGCATTAGCCAGGATGGAGTCTATTTATTTCAGCTTAATAATTTATTCTTCACATTGTAAAACTTTGAAGACACACAAAACTGACCTTCCACAGACAGAAAAATGTTTTAATGAAAAACGTTATCTTTATCCTCAAGAGGTGGGCAGTATGACCAAAAATTCTATTTCATATAACGATGTATATCACAATATAGTTATTTTTTATTTATTTGATCTTTATTAGTAAAAAATAAGCACAAAGATGAAAATAACAAAAAATAGGACTAATAGAATTTAGGAAATATATAAATGAAATAAAGATTATTATAAAGATCCTATATGTTATCAGTCTAACAGTAGCATTTTAGTAAGAAATAACATAAATTGAATAATCAAATGTAAAATAAAACTGCAGTCTTTTCTCTATGAATTAAATGTAGATTGATCATTGTTAAAGCTTCTTTAGTAATTCAGTCAAGAGCAGTTATTTTCTCGTTGTCTTATTGTCTGATTACAATTAAGGATATAGACAGCAGCAGGTATGTTAGGCTGCTGTCACTTTAAGACGCATACATGGATCCAATATATCAAGATTAACTCCTAAAAATGCTGATATTTAGCTGTCAAAGGGACTCCATGTAAAATTCAGAAACCCTTGTTATTAACGACACCAGTGGCCATTAAGTGAACTGCAACCAGTAACTTACTGGTCGTGCTCATGTACACACTCCATGCTTATGAGGGAGTGATGGCCAAAACAGTGAGTGAACGTGATTCACCAACATCAGGTCAACAGACGATGAAGTGCAAAAGACAGTGCCATTATAGTCGAGTAAGGTACAACATATTTAATAATAGTGGAGTTAGATACACACATAAGAGAAAGAGTTATAACTTATAAACAACATATTCTTTAATCCTAACACTAGACACTAAAATATTATTGAGCATTAGCCAGGATGGAGTCTATTTATTTCAGCTTAATAATTTATTCTTCACATTGTAAAACTTTGAAGACACACAAAACTGACCTTCCACAGACAGAAAAATGTTTTAATGAAAAACGTTATCTTTATCCTCAAGAGGTGGGCAGTATGACCAAAAATTCTATTTCATATAACGATGTATATCACAATATAGTTATTTTTTATTTATTTGATCTTTATTAGTAAACAATAAGCACAAAGATGAAAATAACAAAAAATAGGACTAATAGAATTTAGGAAATATATAAATGAAATAAAGATTATTATAAAGATCCTATATGTTATCAGTCTAACAGTAGCATTTTAGTAAGAAATAACATAAATTGAATAATCAAATGTAAAATAAAACTGCAGTCTTTTCTCTATGAATTAAATGTAGATTGATCATTGTTAAAGCTTCTTTAGTAATTCAGTCAAGAGCAGTTATTTTCTCGTTGTCTTATTGTCTGATTACAATTAAGGATATAGACAGCAGCAGGTATGTTAGGCTGCTGTCACTTTAAGACGCATACATGGATCCAATATATCAAGATTAACTCCTAAAAATGCTGATATTGAGCTGTTAAAGGGACTCCATGTAAAATTCAGAAACCCTTGTTATTAACGACACCAGTGGCCATTAAGTGAACTGCAACCAGTAACTTACTGGCCGTGCTCATGTACACACTCCATGCTTATGAGGGAGTGATGGCCAAAACAGTGAGTGAACGTGACTCACCAACATCAGGTCAACAGACGAGGTTCATTCCATTTACAACGTTATGATTGTTTCCTTTGGATTTTCCCGGCAAACCACCTTCCTTCACATAACAATCAGTCAGGTTGCATCTCATTTTTTAAGTTTCGTTACATGCTGTTCACACATTGGCAATAAAAAGTGATTAATACTTGAAAATGCTTTCATATAGCCCCTTTAAAAATTTATTAAAATAACTTTAGCTAGTAAGCAAATTCATAAATTCTAGAGCAGCACAGCTATACAGATCGCTCTTTTCTTGTGTCCTGTAGTGACATTCAGCGAGCAATACCTGATAGTATATATTTTAGTACATACTTAACCAGCACCAAATTTTATTTTATTTTTTTTTACCAGTTGGATCCAACCATGGGCGAATTAAGACTCCATCAATGGGTCCAACAGGATGTAATATGTTTCATTTGCATCTAGCCAAAAACTGTGATAGCCTGTAGTTGATAGTCCCTCTTTTCTTGTGTCCTGTAGTGACATTCAGCGAGCAATACCTGATAGTATATATTTTAGTACATACTTAACCAGCACCAAATTTAATTTTTATTTTTTTACCAGTTGGATCCAACCATGGGCGAATTAAGACTCCATCAATGGGTCCAACAGGATGTAATATGTTTCATTTGCATCTAGCCAAAAACTGTGATAGCCTGTAGTTGATAGTCAGGGGCGAGTCTAGGATTTTTTCAAATGGGGGGCACAATAGGGGCCACAATTAATACAGAGGGGTCAATCTTATGTTGTGTATTTATATGTAGAACTGTAGATATCCAAATCATTTAAAATTCAGAAAGCTTTGAAATCAGCAATAAACAATGAAGAATGGCATTTATTCACTGCTGTAAATCAGAACATTCAAATACAATTTGCATTCACTTTACAGAAGTGAAAAACTGTAATAAATACAGTAGTGAGTACAACTCACAAAAACAATAAAATTCAACATTAATGCTTTAATGCAGGGCTGATGAGTGACAGTTGATTGTCATCAGAAGGCTGGTGAGAGAGAATGCTGTGTGTGTGTGTGTGTGTGTGTATGTGTAATTATAGCAATTATAACAATCTCTATAAGAATACAAATGTTAAACAGCTGATAATAAATGCAAAATTGTGATGCATAAACAAATGTTATCAGTTTTATTATGCCATACACTCTAGAAAAAGCTGGGTTAAATACAACCCAGTGCTGGGTAAAATAGGGACAAACCCAGCAATTAGGCTGTTTTGACCCAGCGGTTGGGTTAAATGTTTAACCCAACCTTCTGGGTAGTAACCCAATTACTAGGTCAAAACAACCCAATTGCTGGGTTTGTCCCTATTTTACCCAGCACTGGGTTGTATTTAACCCAGCTTTTTTAGAGTGTATCATGCTTATCAATAATAATAACAGAGAAAACAACCTTTCAATCATAATATGATGACGGATTTTATTCATGTCAATCACACATTGTGTAGGTAACTATAAGGTTTACACTATTCTTCTCCTAGTTATCGATCAACATGTTCATTCTAAAAAAATAAAAAATAAAATAAAAGTAAAAGACAGAATATATTTACTTAAACATTTCTGAAAATCGGAATGTCAGATACTTAAGTTTAGTTAACAAGTTCATGAATATTTTGACTTTGAGATGTCAGGTGGCAAGCTTGATGTGTCACCATGGAAAAAAAGTGTTGGTGGGGAAAAAAATCACAACCATCCCAGCTGGAATATTCTAAACTAAACAGTCTACGTGTTTAAAGCACTAAGTTTCTAAACAAACATTTTTTTTAATTGAAACTACAAAACGTGATATTAATGATTAGCCTATTAACAAGGTTAATAATTAATGGGGATCTAAAGACAAGCTACATATACAAAATATCGTCATAATCTTTAGATATTAGGCAAATTATCCATAAGAAACTGTTTAACATGTGGTGAATGAAGTTCGAGGTTGTGACGGTCATGTTCGGGTTGCAAATTGTAAATACACCAAATGTCTTTTTATGAATATGGTCCATTTTGAAATGTTTATATCAAAACAAACAATATTTTTAGATTCTCCTCTACCCCTGAATAAATTATTCTGTGCATAGACTCTGATCAGCGGCGCCGGCGGTTCCGTGATTGCATTTTGTTGCAATGTTTTTTAATGTTTTTTTTAAAGTTTAATTACAATTATTATGACGTCATTATCGAGTCATTCGGTTTGAAACTGATTTAATTTAGAGTATTCGTTCCGAAGGCAGTCAAGTCATTTTCTTCATTTATTAGAAATCTTTAAATTCGCAAGTGCAGTCATCTTGATTGGCTAATTCTAGGACAAAACCTGCAAAATCTGTTGGGAAATCTTTCACCCTCATACAAAATTTCAGTTTGTATGGATTCTTATTGAATGAACTGGCTTTTGCTTGCGAAAATTCACTGAATAATTGTAAATGTGACAACAAAGACATCAAGAAGCTTAATTTACACAAGAAAGCGTTTATTACATTTTTTCAGAAAACGTAATGTACACTGACATGTATTCAAGATTTTCAACATTTTTGACTGTACTTTACCAAAAGAAACCCCTCGATTTCAAAGTGTGAGCTCTCAGAATGGCCTACTAACATCTGAAAAATATATTAAAGCCAAAAAAAGATGAATCTTGCACATTTTGATAATTATGATAATGCTAATAATAATAATAATTTTAACATTAAGGATGCTAATAAACCTTCATAAATCCTAAATTGCATTTTCAATGGTTTCATGGATGTCCTGCCATTAAATAATGTTTGGATTTAACCTGCCAGGGCTTGTCTATTTGGCATCCTGCCTCAAGTTGCCCTATAGGCCGATGTTGGTTGCTAGGCAACCCCGCTTCAACCATACCAATTCCCCTGACATCTTTCGATCAGTCGAACTTCTCTCCACTGTGAGGTGGGCTCTACTGTTTCTGCAAGCGTGCTCACCCACATTCTCCCACACACAGCACATGGAGCACACAGTTTGGGGTTTAACAATCATTATGTAAGGCTGCTATCATTTCTTTTTGAATTCGTAGCTGGCATTGCAGTGAAGAATATGCATGTCAAATGCTTTCAGAGGGTTTCAGGTCATTTCGAGGAACAGTTTGTGCGAAAATGAAAATTCATTCATCATTTATTCACCCTCGTGTTGTTTCAAAACTGTATGACTTTCTTCTATGCAACACAAAGTGCTGGTCGCTCTTTTTCATTCAGTTACAATGAATGGGGACTGAAGCTGTGAAGCCTTTTAAAAGTGAAAAGTTATTATATGGTTTGAGAAGGCTTTCAGAAGTCACATGGACCACATTTATGATGCACCTTTCAAAGCTATATATACTTTTCATTGTCATACATAAACATTTTTTTACTTCAAACACTATATTTTGTGTTCCATGGAAGTCAGTCATGCAGGTTTGGAAACAGATGAAGGTATATAAATGATGACAGTTAAAAAAAATTTGGTGAACTATTCAGGGATGTTATCATAAAACAAACAGTTGAGAAAAGTTTTTAAGAAAATAAATGCAACTGATTTTATTTTTTAAATTCTTTTATTTTAGCTACTTGCCAACATTTTTCCATTTTAGTTTAGTTTAACTTGAAGTGCTAAAATAAATCAAACAAGCTAATAAATTAAAAACTAAAACCATATAGATATTCGAAAGATAATTAAAATGACAAAACACTTTAAAAATAAAAGTGAAAACAGAAAATATAAAAACAAAAATGCTAAATATTAACAATAACTATACTAGTATAATCAATTATACTAAAATAACAGTAACTGGAACTACTTTAGGTTAGTTCAAACTATTCACCTTTGGATCATAAGTATTACATAATGCCACATATTTACTGTTGAAATTTGTTATTGTTATCTGTTTCAGGAAAGGCATGCCGATAACCTCATTCAGAACCAGCACTACCAGGTAATGGCATTTGGCCGTACACATCACACTTTGGCATCCGTGTTATTAAACCATTTTGTTGGATTCAAATCTTGCTTTTAATGTTAACAATTCCAACAGTTTATTTAAATGAGAAAACAAACATTAGCATATGGGTATCATGCATATTAATGAGTTATTAGAGCGTTGCACATTGCATAATTTGCATGTCTTTTTGTAAATGATAGTTCTAGGAGCTTACACTCTAAAAAATGCTGGGTTAAATATAACCCAGCGCTGGGTTAAAAAGGAACAAACCCAGCTATTGGGTTGTTTTGACCCAGCGGCCAACCGCTGGGTCTAAACAACCCAATAGCTGGGTTTGTCCCTTTTTAACCCAGCGCTGGGTTATATTTTTTAGAGTGTACAAAGAGAAAAATCATGTAGATGGGATTTTAAAGCTGCTTGAAATAAATAGTGCATGATCACACTGAAACGAAATATTATGTTAATTAGCTTATCAATGCATATTCATTACTTCTTCTAACTGCATTACACCCTGTCCTGCTTTGAACTTTATAACCACTGGATCCCTGCTGATTGCTAAGGCATTAATACATAGCCGACCAGAGTCCAGCAACCTCTGGTGCAGGTCACAACACTGTAATGAACATCTATTATGAATAGATGTATGTGATTTCGTACGCAGCACTGTAGTGGAATACCGAGTCATGTGACGGTTTTGATACTTTTTTTTTGTTGAGCTTGACAGCTGTGCTTATTATGTTGTTGTATGGCAAGAGCTGTGTGATGATTGTTCAAAATATCTTCTTTTATATTCTGTGAAAAAATAGGGATGAATAAATTATGACAGAGTTGTAATTTTTGGGTGACTGATTCCTTTAAGCAGGGTCTGTTGTGAGGGAGATGTTGTATATAATTTCTACAGACAAATATTTCTCCCCAACAATCAAGAGCTGCAGTAGCGGATATTGCAATAGCTGTTTTGTTGTTGTTGTGAGTAAGTGGGTTTTGAGAGCCACCGCTGGCTCATTCTTTATTGGATATGCAAATAAATGCTAATGAATGCACGCCCAGATTTTCACCTCCAGTTAATACATATGTCATGAATATGCCAAAAACTGATTTTCACCGCTTATTAAACTGGAATCACAAAATATGCGCATGCCAATCACATTCAAAGCCCATCACCCTATCTCACCCCACCCGAGAATATATCATCCCCTCCTTTGTGATTCATATTGAAGAGGAAAGCAGGGTTATTTGTAGATCAGAAGGTAATATGTCAAGAAAAATATATTGAAGTTTGTCCGGTTTGTGGCTGTTTTTAGGAGGTGATCAGAAACTTGGTAAAGCGATATGTTGCAGCCATGATCCGCAGCGCCAAAACAGACGAAGGGTTGACAGAGGAGAACTTCAAGGTATGAGGATTTTATAGTCATCTTAATCTCTATAAAGGCACTTATAGAGGCCATAATGATCTCATTTTTATTTGTAAAGTGTACATTTTTATCCAAATGTAGCAAAGTCCATCATGCAGGTTTGACTGGTACGTGGTAGAAACACACTTTAGATATGAATACTATACAATAATCAATCATTTTGAGTAGATACACAATATGAACAGTTTACATATGTATAGAATAAATGAACTTTGAATTCAGGGCTGCAAATGATCCTTTTCATAATTATCTACTGTCTTCTGAAGAAATAAGATGAATTGCTACAAAAGACAACAGTATTCGATAAATATTAATTGTCATTATTATGTTGATTATATTAATATTGTTAATTATTAATATGAATAAAAACAGTTTATTAGCCTAACTGTACACTGTTTAAAGTGCAACACAGCAACTTCTATAAATATAAAGTTTGGCTGAGGTGCAATCACAGATGGGTTCAAACATGACGCATCCAATCAAATGTGGGAAGTGGGAAATATTCACCTTATAAAATCCATTTTGCTTGCTACGAATGTCATAGTCTAAATAGCTATTTCCTTTTAGGACCTTAAAGGTGACATATCATGAAAATCTGACTATTCCAGGTTTTAAGTGCTATAATCAGGTCCCCAGTGCATCTACCAACCAAGGAAACTATATATATATATATATATATATATATATATATATATATATATATATATATATATACAGTATATATAATGCCCAAGACTCAATTTCTCCATTTCTGCCATTGGTTGGATACTACAATGTAAAGTGAAATCGAGGGCTGCATCTGAAATCATACTTTTCCTACTACATAGTAGACAAAAGGATCTGAAGTACACATCCAATGGACACTTTACAATCCCATGAGTCCACGGGAGTGCAGTGAGGCAACGCAACTGATGGTAAGGTTGCATGAACATAATACGTCCAGATTGCATTCACACTACACACATTCATACTACATAGAATGTACTTTTTTAATGTTTACAAAGTAATTACGTAAAGGTATCAACTCGGAGACGATGCGATTTTTGGAGGCATCCATGATCTATGCATAGGTGTAGTATAAATACAATTCGTACATACTAGAGTCATGGTCAAAAGTTTTGGCAGAGACAAATTTTGTGTTTTGCAAAGTTTGCTGCTTAAGCTGTTGTGGTGTTCATTCACACGGTTTCTAGATTATTGTGTAGGGTGATCAGATGCATTTTAAATAATTGTTAAAAGCGTCATTGGCCAAAAAACTTACTTTTCACCAAAAAAACAATGACATTAATTGGCTAATCATATCAGCAGCACACGTGAAAGTGTGAATGAGTACTAGTCAGGTGAAATCACTATCATACTAATTAGATTGTAAGAGCAGACTGATTGCTATAAAAGGAGGGAAGAAGCGCTTCCAATCATTGTTAGCAATCTTGTTAGCAATGGTTACCTCCAAAGAAACACGTGTAGCCATCATCACTTTGCATCAAAATGGCCTCACATGCAAAGAAATTGCTACAAAGAATATTGCACCTGAAAGAACCATTTACTGGATCATCAAGAACTTCAAGGAGAGAGGTTCGACTGCAGTGAAGAAGACTTCAGGACGTCCCAGAGTGTCCAGCAAGTGGAAGGACCGTCTCCTCCTGAGGAGTCAGCTACGGAATCGTGTCACCACCAGTGCAGAGCTTGCTCAGGAATGGCAGCAGGTTGGTGTGAGAGCACTTGCACGCACAGTGAGGCCAAGACTTTTGGACCACGGCCTGATGTCAAGAAGGGCAGCAAAGAAGCCACTTCTCTCCAAGAAAAACGTCGAAGACAGACTGAAATTCTGCTGGAAGTACAAGGATTGGACAGCAGAAGACTGGTGCAAA